GTGTAGCGTGGCAGTTGTCGCTCGCACGATTGCCTACGATACGACACTGCTCTTATATCAGTGGGTCGATGGCATGGCAGCTTCCTCGCAGGTGTGGCGTTAAGGCTGACGGGGTAGGCGCAGTGTTATTGCAGTGGGTGGTACTTTCCACGTAAGTTCAATTTAACGAATGCGTGGAGGCCAGAAAAAGTACGAGGAGTGAGTAAAGCAGCGAATTGGGCGTGTGTAAACTTAGCAAAGCTCAGCCCGTCCACGATGGGCAGGGCATGCATTCTGATGGAAGCTACTTTTCAAACATTTATGATTCTACTAGGAAACGATCTAAAATAGGGGAAAAATGCGGTTATAGACAATAGAAGAAACCGGAATTACCGAGGCGGGCGGAGTTAACACTAAGGTACGCGGGACTGAGACAAAACCATGTAGCATTGCTTAAAAGGTTCCAGAATGGGAGGAAAGAGTTTTTGAAGCTAGTAGAAGTAATGCGGTTAAATCCCCGAAGTGGGCGGGGTCTGCACCGAGGTGGACCGACTAAGATCAAAAACTTACAGCTCTGTTCAAAAGTTCTAGAACCCAGAGAAAAAAAAGGTTGCAGGTAATGATGGCGAAGTGGTCTAGTACCCAACCTGGATGGGGTTTACACTAAGGTGGGTAGGGCTAGTATCAAAAGCCCATAACATAACAACATTGACCAAAAACGTTCTAGAATGCGGGTAAGAAGTGATAGAGGAAATGTAGCCACATCTCCGAAGTGGGCGTGGTTTTACACTACGGTGTGCGGGGCTAGGATCAAGAAATCATAACATTGTTCATAAACGTTTTCGAACGCGGGAGAACCGCTTGGAGGCAAATGAATGTGATCCTTGACTTGGGTAGAGTCCGCAATAGAGTGGGCGCGGCTAAGGTCAAAAGCTTATACCTTGAGGCTTGAAAGTTTGTTGGGTGCGGGGGAAAAGTGGTCGGATGTAGTAAAAGAAAAGGAGTGAAGTTCCAGTTGAAGATTCATAACTCCGTTCGAAAATGTTCCAGAACGTGGGGAAAAAATTGGAGGTAATAGAAGAAATTTGGTCAAATCTTCGAAGTGGTCATAATGCTGCTCCGAAAACCAAGCGTTCACGAACTTTTTACCTAAACTCATTACCCAACACAGCCTATAGCCAGCTTTCGGAGGGTGAATCTTATATCAAAAATTTCATCTCCGTTCGATGCGGTCTTTGTTATGATGTTATGATGTGCGCAGAGCCGAACTGGTATAGTATGGGTCCGGGAACTTCTCCCTTGACACGGCGTCGCATACGCCGCACCCTCCGCGTATCGCAGGGTCGCGATGGAAGATTGGAGCGCGCAATTCGTGAGGTAGGGAGTCCTTTAATTACTTGAATTGGCTGACCGCTTTCTTCAATTTCAATGCAGTCTTGATCGCCGCTTGCATAGGAGGAGCCATTTTAGTTAATCAAGTCTAATAAACATGAAAACAAAAAAGAAACAGAAGAAAAAACAAACAAATCCAATAAAAAAGCAAGGCAATCAACGAAAAATATCGCGTCCTATCGATTGGCGGGGAGTACGGTAATCGCAGTGACATTTGCCGCATGCCGCAAGGGAGAATGCCGCGATAGGGGAGAAGTTCCGTTACCCGTATAGTATGAGTGACTTCTCTGTTGTTGTGTAGTAGTGCGTAGTTTAAAGGGACGGGGCAGTACGCAGTGGAACCCCAAAATGCGCGGGAAGGTACACTGGGCGGTAGGCCGTGAGTAAATGGCAAGTAGTTGAGTGTTCGTCGTGGCCGTGGAGGGCCGTCATCGTCGCCGTTCGACCCCGCTGGAGTTCTGCTGCCGTTCAGGAGGGAAGCTGCGTACTGCCCGGTCGTGAGTTCAGTTAGGGTGTTTTGTTTCGTATAATATAATCGCTTTTATAGCTATTGTTTCTTTCTGATTGATTTCTTTTGCTGTATTAAAAGAATTTTTTTGTTGTCATTTCACTGAATCTTTTTGTTTGATTGATTTTGTTGATAAAAGAT